AAGAATTTATATTTTAAAAAAATGAAATATAAAAAAGTATATATACTGACGGTCATTAAAAACGCACCACTTACAAAACAATTCAAATAATGGTGATCATGTGTTTATTTTTTTTAACGGATTGTATACCATTGCATTCTATGGTCATTTTATGAACTTTCACAACTGATATGAAATGAAAAGGTCAAATGGCACCGCGAGCACAAAAGCATGAAGTAACAAAAGTCATTTTTCAAAATTCAGAGCGGTAATTGAGTTTTTAACACCTGCTTTAGTATCGTGTATGTTCTCTATTGGTCTGAATACAGGACTGGTAGCGTCTTTCTCATGGAATTGACAAGAGTCTGAAAGATCACCTGTGGAATCTGTACCCACTCATTTGTCAAAGAACGCCTCAGCTCTTGGAGATTGTGTAGAGGTCTTCCAGGGGACAAACGGCGGCCAAGCTCCTCCCACACATGCTCAATTGGTGCCATGTCAGGAGACAGTGATGGCCAAGCCAGAACATCAATGTTGTTTGCCTGCAGAAAATCAGTGGTGGGCTCGAGTGATGTGGGGGAGGGTGTTGTCGTGTTGGAATACCTGCAGCTCTGGGTGTTGACTAAATAACGACACGACGTGGTTCTTTAAAACTTGCTGGTACGCGGTGGCATTCACAGGCTGATCGAAGAAGTACATTGGTGTGCGATAATCGTAGCTGAACGCTCCCCATACCTTGACGCAGCCTCCTCCCCTTCTATTGACCTCCAGCATGTAACAGTTGGTATAGCGCTCGCCGGGGCGTCTCCAGACCCTTATTCTCCCGTCAGCATGCGAGAGGGCAAATCGACTCTTGTCAACTGTAAATGCTGCCTGGCCTATTGCAAACGTTGTTGACAGTGCCTCTGTGTCAGGACAGGACCAACGTACGGGCGTCTGGCTGCAAGTCCTGCTTCCCGCAAACGTGGTCGCACGGCCCATTCAGATACTGGTCCACGCCGACCAACCACTTGACGACGTTTCCGGTGCTGACAGGAAACGGTCACGAAGGTGACGTTGGCAAATGTAACGGTCTTGCGCTGGTGATGTAACTCGTGGTTGGCCGCTCCGTCGCCGATCTGCTGTAGATCCAGTAGCTGCATTTCGTTGAGACAACTGGATTACAGTCGAGTGGCTACAGCTCATGCGCCTGACAACTTGCCGTGCTGCCATTCCGGCTTGGGGCATTCCAATTGCCTTTTCACGTTGTTGCATGGAAAGTCGGGGAATTATTTACGCACAAAAAATCCGTCGCACAGAGTAAAGAATGTCAGTTTTTGATATTGGCGAATATAACCTCTCCTTAACAGCCAAAAAATCTACCTCGCTGAACACCCCCCCCCCCTACACACACACACACAAACACACACGCACAACACCTGCACAACACCCGCGGCGCTTTTTATGCCCTGCTTGAACAGACGTGAGTTAATTAAGGCGTTGAAGAACATCAGTCTATCTTTCCACCCCCTCCCCTCCCTATCCTCCCCCACCTTTTTTTCATAGTGACGCCTGCAAATGTGCTAGCCTGCCATTGTCCAGAATACGCTGTGAAAAGGAACAAATTCTCCCACGCAGAATGAGAAGCTTCATTTAGTTTTTACTTTCAAGGATTCGAACTTTGAGCATCTGAGTTACACACAGCTTCATGACATAGATAATAACATTCTCCTAAGACAGTAAGCAAGACTACGAAACGCAATTTCTATTTACCTTAACGCAGGACTAGGAATGACAAAAACAAAAGCCCCAATAAAAAAAGACAAACTCCTCCTCCTCCTCATCATCACCAGCAGCACCAACAGCATCAACATCAGTACCATCATCACCAACATCAGCATCATCAATCCATCAAGACTCCCTCGTCCCGACGGAATTCAATACATTTACATTACCTGAGCTATGATCTAGACAAAATATGATACAAGTATTCGAAATTCACTGGACATGAAAGAATGATTATGTTTACAACAGAAGTACAAAAGAAATATCCCTTTATTTGATATTGTTCTTCTACTTCTTCAAGGGTAACAACTACGGCATTGACAATTCATGTACTTTTTACTTTTACTTTTTTCTTCCGCTTGTACCCTGGGGTGTCGCGGGGAGACACAGGTGTCTGTCTGCAGCAAGTCGTGTAGCCTGTAGGAGGGACATCCCATGATCTTTAAGGGTGTCTGCCACAGATTCACTCCATCGTCGCCTTGGTCTTCCTCTGGCTCTCTATCCAGAATCTTTAGTGTTGTATGCTCTCAGAGCTGGATGGTTTGAGGGCATCCGCGTGAGGTGTCCGAACCATTTGACCTTTGTTTTTCAATGTGTGGTAGGACTGGTGTTGCTCCCACGGTGTCCCTTATGACTTCATTTTAAATTTTGTCACTTCTTGTTTTGTTGACTGCTCTTCTTAAGCATTTCATCTCGCATGTGACCAGTTTCCTCTCTAGGGCTTTTGTTAGAGTCCATGTCTGGCACTGATATGTGAGCGGTGGAAGGAAAATGGCGCTGATGAGCTTCGCCTTGGTGCTCATGGGGATATTGGGATGTTTCAGGAGAGGGCCCAGTTGGTAGCTGACTGCGTTGGCTCTCTGGCTTCTAGTCTCTATCTCTCGATCTAATTTTCCATTTTCTGTGAAAATGCTGCCCAAGTATTTGAATTCTCTGCTTTGTTTTAGTTGGGATCCATTGATGTTGATATCCACTTTGCCTGGTCTCCTGCTAATTGTCATGACTTCGGTCTTGCTTATACTGATCTTCATGTCAAATTTTTCGCAGCTCGCATTTAGTTGGTTTATATGCTCCTGTAGCTGAGTCTTGTTGTTAATCATTGCCAG